CAATCCAGTTGTCCCAGTGCCATTGATTCCCATTCATATTTATTTTTGTTTGTGTTTGTATCTATTTCTGGATTTTCTTATTATTAAAAAAAGTTATATGAGTGTTATACATGAATTTATTTTTATTGTTAAAAGAATTCAGTAGTGAAGTGTAAAGTTAAAACAGGGCTGTTTGCTCTCCTTCTGCTCATCCCTCCTGCTTTTGTCTGAGCTACTGAGTGTTAACAGATGAGTGTGTGTTCCCTTTAGACCTTCTCCACTGCTCATGTCTATGTGTGCATCCATACACAGCATACATGGTATGCTCTAAATTGCTCTTTGTCCCACTAATTCAATTTCTCGGAGTTCTGTGATCCACACAGCTCTACCTCATTATTCTTTCTAACTTCTGCATCATTACATAGTATGGACGTATCATACTTTACTTTACTACTCCTCTGCTGTTACATACCTTAGTTGTGGGCTCTTTCCCTCTAATTCTATGAAGGCTATATATGTAGCTTATGAAGCACGTGGCATTGCTTCTCTTTGATTTGTGATAAGCCTATTCCCAAAGTAAAATATTTATTTATGTGATTGGGTTAGTATTGTAACATTCATGAGGATGAAATCTGGACCACATTGAGTGATATGTTATTTTGTGATGATCTTGTCTTTCTAGATCAAATTTGATGCTGGGACACTCCTTCTTAGTACACATCGTCTGATTTGGAGAGATCATAAAAATCATGTAAGATACTTTTTTTGCATCTGATGTAGGTTTTGTTATCTATCTATCTATCTATCTATCTATCAATCAAGACAGGATATCAAGACAGGGTCTCATTATGTTGCCCAGGTTTGAGTGTAGTGGTTGTTCATAGACAGACATAGCACACCATATCCTTGAACTCCTGGGCTTAAGTGATCCTCCTGCCTAAGCCTCCTGAGTAGCTGGGACTACAGGCATGGGCCACTGTGCCTGGCTTTGTTGTGGGTTTTATTATTTATTTATTAATTATTATTTTTTTGGAGACAGAATCCCACTCTGTTGCTCTGCCATGCTGCCATAGCTAACAGCAGCATCAGACTGGTGGGCTCAAGTGATCCTTTTGTCTCAGCCTCCCTTATATCTGGGACTGGCCCACCATAGTTCCTGGCTATTTTTTTAGAGATAGGGTTTCACTGTTGCTCAGGCTGGTGTTGAACTCTTGAGCTCAAGCATCTGGGTTTTATATTACTGAAGTTTTTCTTTACTTTTTTTCTAGCAAAACTATAGATGGATATAATAAATTTTCCTTTTCAGAATGTCAAAAAAGTGTGACCCATGTGATTTCTCTGAATGGAGAACCAAGAAAGGAGTTGGGATGGTGGCCCATATTCAGCTCCAGAAAAGTCTGTGTTGTTACTGGATGGAGTTACTGGACTACTGTTTTGTAAAAGCCAGTGAAATCCTACTCCATACCTGAATAACATATGTGTAATGGGGAAATAATTCGACCATTAGTTGCCAGAGGTCTTTCAAAAGGGCTCGTGTACCTGTAAAACTACTGGTTCTCCCAGCTTATTGTTGAGAATCAGGAGGATAGGTCTGCCTTGAAGTACATACTTTTACCTAGACATGAGATATTATTATTATTTTGAGACAGTGTCTCACTCTGTCACCCTCATTAGAGTGATATGACCTCATAGCTCACAGCAACCTCAAATTCTTGGGCTCAAGTTATCCTCTTGCCTCAGCTTCCCAAGTAGCTGTGACTATAAGTGCTGCCATGACACCTTGCTAGTTTGCTAGTTTTTCTTATTTTATTTTAAGGTATTGTATTTTATCTTATTTAATTTCATTTTTTTTTTCCTTAGGCAGAATCTTACTTTGTTACCCCCAATAGAGTGCCATAGCTTACAGCAACTCCAAACTCTTGGGGCTCAAGCCATCCTCTTACCTTAGCCTTTCAAGCAGTTGGGACTACAGGGGCCCAACGCAATGCTCGGCTTTTTTTTTTTTTTTTTTAGAGATGGGGGTCTCACTCTTGCTCAGGTTGATCTTGAACTCATGAGCTCATCAATCCACCCTCCTCAGCCTCCCAGAGTGCTAGGATTACAGGTGTGAGCCACCACGTCAGGCTGAGATATTATTTCTGGTATTATTGCTTCTGAGAAAGAGGAAAAAACCTTGCTACCTTGCTCCCCCCCTCAGTCCTTTTAGGAATGAGGAATAAGTTATGTCTATATAAAGCTGATATCTTTATATCTTTATTCTGAAGTGCTTCAACTTGGAGGTATATATACATTCATCTCAGGGTTATTGGTTAGATAGCTATGTTCTTATTTTCTTGATTGCTTCCCCGCTATGAAATTTTAATTCCACAAATAAACTATGTACTGTATTATGGCCCTTGAAAGTCTGTTAACTATTGCAATATCTGACTTTTGTGCTATCCAGGAACTGATTTTTGTCCCCTAGATCCGATATTGCCACTGTTGAAAATGCATGCCTGTTTATGTTGTCTAATTCTTTTAAAAGTCACCTATATCCAGGAAAGAAATCTTTTGGGGAAGGATGGAGTAAGTGTCCTTAAACTATATATGTTGATAAATTAATTATTATAATTTTTGATTATCATGTAAAGAGCCCAATTTGGACAAATTCTTAGACCTATTACATGCTATTTATGCATAATAGTTTTTAAAATTAAACATGTGAATAAAGGGACACTATTATGTTTAAAACTAATTTTGTGTATGTATATAGGTAAAGATTGGAATTATAAAAGATAAAAAAATCACCTATGTAATGTACTCCTTAAGTTGTTTTGATGTATCTATTTTGCTTTCCATGTAAGAAAATACTATATCTAAAAAGTTTTCATACAAACATTTCTTTTAGAAAATGTATCTCTTATTAAAAAGAAGGGTAATTACAGCTGCTTTTAAACCTCTTGTGTTCTTCCCTGGGACAAAATGCCACCATAGTATTATTTTTCTTTGAGACAGAGTCACCCTCAGTAGAGTGCTATGGAGTCATAGCTCACAGCAACCTTAAACTCTGGGACTTAAGCTATTCTTGTGCCTCAGCCTCCCCAAGTAGCTGGGACTATAGGTGCCCACCACAATGCCCGGCTATTTTTAGAGATGAGGTCTCTCTCTGGCTTAGGCTGGTCTTGAACCTGTGAGCTCGAGTAATCCACCTGCATCGGCCTCTCAGAGTGCCAGGATGACAGGCATGAGCCACCACGCCTGGCCCCCACAATATTGTTTTTATTTAATTTTCCTTAAGTTCATTTAAGGAATAAAATAATACTGTTTTTCATTATTTTGATTATTAAGGTATATAGGACTCTGAAGCTATAAAACACGGATTTCTGGCAAGTGTTATGGATTTTGTTTTCTATTGATTTCCTCCTAGGAGTGCTGCATGGCCATTCCTCTTTCCCAAATTGTGTTCATTGAAGAACAGGCAGCTGGAATTGGGAAGAGGTGAGGTCTATATAGTATAGTGTTTATTCATAGAAAATACTTACTGCCCTGCTATTGGTCAGGAGGCCCTCTCAGAAGGTATGGTCCTACCTTAGATTGACTGATGTAGTCAACATTAATAAAGTACTAGGGTTTGCTGTAATATCCTTGTATTATTTTACATGGGTCAAGATAAAGAACTGTGGCCCAGCTGCCATTGTATATATTTCCACAGTCCCTTTGCTTTCACATGTCTGTACACCTGTCATTTCATACTTAGAAATAACCTATCTGAGAAAAATAATTGATATTGCTCCTATTTATAGCTGATCATTAAGTTTGTTTCTCAAACTTGTTCAGATATCAGGATTAAATAGTATAACATAATAGTTATTATGCAAAATGGAACATTTGTAAGAATAATAGGTGGTACAATGAATAGTTAGAACAGGGTAGTGAGCGTAAAGTGATAGTGTCCCAGGGACACCAGGAGATGTGGCCCACTGGTATAAGGCTTAAATTCAGATGTTCCTGTTGATTCAAATGTACCAAAAACTTGGCATTATATTTTATAAGTGCCTGTAATTGAGACTTTATGAACAAATATTTCACCATGGTATTGTTTTCCTAGGTAGTTTTATCTTTAAGTTTAGCATAATTAGGGACTTTAGTAGAAGTTAAACAGTGTTGAACTTCACTGGACATGAATGTATGCCTTAATCATTATGTATGGCTATTATAAAAGACTGTTTATTTGACGTGACAGAAACTATCAAGTTTTAAATAGATTAATAAGCCATAGAGTTTTAGAAGGGATTCTTCCTGTAAGTTATATTTCTGCCTTGTCACTTTCTCCTTCTTGTCAAGTTTTAGAAAGTAAACTTTAAGGTTGTTCCACATCGTTTGAATTTTCCTCTTTTGTAATCCAACTCTTGGGCTCAAGCAATCCTCTTGCCTCAGCCTCCCAAGTAGCTAGAACTACAGGTGCCCATCATTACACCCGGCTAGTTTTTTTATTTTTAGTAGAGATGAGGTCTTGCTTTTTCTTAGGCTGATCTCTAATCCTGGGCTCAGCCAGTCCACCCACCTTGGCCTCCCAGAGTGCTAAGATTGCAGGCCACTTGCACCCAGTCCAAGTTAACTTCTAAAATATTCTCTTTAGTTCCCAGCCCCTCTCCTCGAATAGTTACCATATTGCATTGATTTGAAATACATATTTTTTGAACTTTAAACTCAACATTTCATAGATTGTTAAACTAGATGAAGTATAGTCATTGAATGGCTCAGTAAAAGTATATGTAAAACATGTGCAGTTTTTAAATGCTTGCTTTAGAAATTTTAAACTTTGTGTCAACAATCCTTCTGCTGTATATTGAGTGTCTTTTGACAGAATCTGATAGTAGGCTTGAGGTTTTTTTAGTTTCAGAGATGGTGAAATGCTTCTGCTCAGCCACCATCAAAGTTGTCATAGTTTTGTTGCTCTACCTGAAGGCTTCTTTCAGACAGTCCCGTGACTCTGCTTGTATAGTTTATTTGTTCACTTCACTTGAAGATGTTCGCCACAAGGGAACAGATGAGCTCTCACAAGGTTGGCTCCAGTTCACTAACCAGAGAATTTGTTACATAAAGAAGCCCCAATCCCTGGCATTTCACTTTCACAGTGGTTGATAGGCAACCATATGGGCCCAAAGAAAAGTAAAACTGAGTAACATGTATGTTACCTATGATACAATCATAGAGAAAAAGCTCTAAAATAGATGATATTTTGACTGAGTTTTTAGTTTCCCTAATCTTTATAGAAGATTACTTATTGAGCAGGTTTGATAAAAGGAGAAAAAGAGACTTGTAAAGCTGAACAAATAGAGTGATATTTTTAATAGCATAGAAGATAATCATAGTCATAAAGATAACGGTAGTTTGTGTTCACAGAGCAGCAGCATTTTGAGAATCATTTTTGTTATTAGGTATCAAGCTGTGGCCTGAGTGGCATTTTCCAACAAATGACACTGTAGAATGTTAGTTTTGGATAGAGTTTCAATAAAATATC